TTTAGTACAGGAGCTCGATAAGGGTAATAAGACAATAGGTATATTTCTTGACCTAGCAAAAGCATTTGATGCAGTTTCCGTACGCATCTTGTTGCAAATGCTAGAATCTATGGGTATAAGAGGCACCCAGCTTCATTTAATTTGAGAATTATCTATGCGAATGAACTCAGTGTGTAAAAATAGGTAATTTTATTAGTTCAGATCTAGACAACACATGTTATGGGGTTCCTCAAGAAAGTATTTTAGGCCCTACTTTATTTTGGGTGTACATAAATGAACTACTGAGACTACTAACAAAAGACAGAAAGATATAGTTTGCCCGCAAAGTAATTTTACAAAGCATAGCTTCGCTTCCAGATTTTATTTATTTCAGGGACCATTTTATACAACATACAATCGACTAAATGTTAAAGTAAATTTAAATAGCCTAAATTATAAACATGGCAAACTTATTTTTCACGATGCCTTACTAAGTATGTCCTACGATGATACAGAGATGTTGATTCCTTTTCAATATACTAAATGGTACTTTATCTTATAGAGTACATTTAGGTTATGATATATTATAACGCTAGCTGAAGTTAATTATTGTTTTGGTATTATATTGCACATTATACTTTTGATTATTGTATATAGTTAAATATCTGTACTTGTTTAAATATATATAGAAACAGGTTTACCTAGTTCAGGCTATAGGATAAGTTACATATCTTTTATTATTTCTAGAATAAAGTAATTTATTGTAAACTGAATTCAATAAACATTTATTTGTTTCTTAGGTCTTCACGCATATCACTCATTAAATAAAACTTATTTTTAAATTTAAATTATTTATTGACGTTTCGCAGCCTTTTCAGATGTGCGTCGTCAGTATATTATAAATTATTCTGACGATGCAGACCTAAAAAGGCTGCGAAACGTCAATAAATAAATAAATTTAGTACACTAACCCGTAAAAACTAGTTTTATTAAATAAACATTTATTGAAGTTATACTTCTTTAGGCGCGTTATGAAAAAATTATGTGAGTGAAATTCTAAGATGCGCGCGCATCACTGTAACACAAAATTTTAACGTTACTTTTGTGTTTACCGCACATTAAGAAAATCTACCAACAAAATAGAAATAGAATCTCTATTTAGTGGGTGCTAACGACTGCATTGTGAAGGCCTATCAAAAGTATTTATTAATCTGGAACAACGGAACCAAAGCGCGATTCAGGAGACTACAGCGCCATCTCTTGACCATTGGTGTAGTAGAACCAAAAACTACATCTTTATTTTTTGTAATAAAGTAACAGTTATAGGTATTCATATTTATAATATCAAAAGTATTTATTAATCTGGAACAACGGAACCAAAGCGCGATTCAGGAGACTACAGCGCCATGTCTTGACCATTGGTGTAGTAGAACCAAAAACCACATCTTTATTTTTTGTAATAAAGTAACAGTTATAGGTATTCATATTTATAATATTTATCCATATGTTTCTAGTTTGTATATTCGGAATACGTGTTTGAGTTTCATACAAGTGCAAATCACATACCTATGTTCTAATAAATTATATTCAGTAGCGATTTTAATTGAATATTTTGATTATTTATTTATTTTTTCAAATTAAAACTGAACTTTATTGACTGTGTCCTTTTCCAGACTTTTTATTAATTTATTGTAATTAATTATTTGCATGCAATTAAAAACTAATTTTAAACGATGCCAAAGAAGGATAACTTCTCACGCGCCTACATAAGTACACGCACCCATTTTTTATTATTATTATCGCCTTTTTAACAATATATAAACAACATAAAAACAATAGGGAAGATGCATATATAATATTTATGAAAATTTTATGATTAAAATGTTAAAAAAATATAAAAGAAATGCCACTGCAACGTTTTTATTTTACATAATGTTGTTTTTTAACAATTATTACGAATTAAAAATACTTGAAACGGAACGTATTTTAAAACACCAATCAGCGTTTAGTGACGTCACTCCTGTAATGACAACTTCTTTGAGGTTATGGTTGTTAAAGTAAATATTATTTTATGGGAATATTTAATGCGTTTTTTTACATTTAATAAAAATGGAAGTTGCGTTTATCAAAGCAGACTCCAGGAATTTACCCAAGAGTTAGCGTTGACATGGTTATAACTTTTTTTGTCCAAAGTGCAGAGTTTTTAAGTGTAGAAATGAAAGGGACTATATTACTACGGTATGTAAAAATCGTAGTTTATTCGTATTTTATTCAGCGGCTTCTACAAATCTTACGGCGATAATGCAATCGGCTATGTCCAAATTAAAAGAGATGGAAAATTATGTACAGTAAAAGGTCGAGTTCTCCGGAGCATAAACTACGTAAAGAAGGTTATCGTGTTACAGTTATTTTAAATGAAACGCAAACCTTGGTTCAGTCCTGCCAATGTGAAGATTGTGCCACACATTTTAAACTTTATCTAATTTTCGACGTCATTCTCCAACTGTAAAATTAAAAATATGTTATAGACAGGTTTTGTAAGTATTAGGTAGGTTACTAATGCGTTTTTACGTACAAGCAGATTAATTAAGCATAAAACAAGTATATTCGCCAACTTACGTCAAAGTGATCTTCTCAGCATCGAATAATGGTCTTTGGAGAATAATTGTCATTTCTCTTCGCAGCTTGAAACCACTTTTTTTTCAGTTTTGGGTCAGAAGTTCCAGTCAAAAACAATTTATTTGGGAACTTTGTTGAAGTAGATTGGCACAAAACATGAGTCAACACGGCTTTTTTTCGGAATATTAGTGGTATTGTTATGATCACATGATGTTGATGGATAGTCCATTTTAAATTTTTCAAAAAAATATTTCGAAAGTCGGATAAATATGCAAAAGTATGAAAATTTAAACAATTAAAATTTAAACCCAGCAACGAACAATTACGACCAGTGACAGACAGGAGTGACGTCATCGCAACCATAGGTTCGTTTTCGCGCGAAAATTTAAATTGTCAATTTAAAACCGCATTTTTTCCGATAAATCACAATGTTTTAATTTTTTAATATATCTGTGGTTTATTCTACATGGAATTCTTTAAAATGAAAACAAAAATAAAAATATTGCATCGTCCCTATTCTTTTTTTTGATGTCATTCAGTCATCAGATGGATTATGTGTTGTGTTAATAAGAGGTAAGAAGTGGTGGTGGTCAATATTGTCTTACCTTTTCGATTTGGCTATTTCAATGCTTAGGCGATCACATGTCACAATAAATAAACATGGACGAGGAAACACATAAGTTGATCAACTAGCGTTTAAACGCGCTATTAGAAGAGCCTACGTAAGATTATTGAATTCAGTCTTAAAACAAAAGTAATCACTTAGAACGTATCGAAAACCAATTACGATGCGTTATATGACAATCGTAATTCTACCACTGCAATGGATAAAAGGACACAGCAGCTCAATTGGAAATGACGCAGCAGACGAACTGGCTAAGAGGGGAGCAGACACAAAAGTGTATGGTCCGACACCTTTGCTGCCCATACATCAGGCCGGCTGCGTGAAATAACTCAAAAATCACACTTGACGGAGTGGAAAACAGGTGAAGGATGCCGGTAAACGAAAAACGCGGTTCCGGCGGCAAATAAAAGTTTTGCCCGTATCCTTACCAGACTAAATAGGGACAAACTTCGCAGGATTATAGGATCTCTGACTGGTCATTGTCCCCTAAACAAACACCTATATACAATAGGAGTAACGGACAGCCCCCTATGCAGAGGATGCATGGAGGCAGAAGAAACGCCACAGCATGTCATCATGGAATGCAGGAGTGTGGCCGACCAACGGGCACGACTTCTCCAGTCACCAGAATCGTTTCGGAAGCTTGCAGCAATCTACCAAGGTTGCTTTCCTTCTGGACCGATATAGGCTGGCTGGAGTAAATGGGAATGTTTTTGAGACACGCACAATGGTCCAATAATTAGGACTAAGTGCGGAAACCGCCCTGAAGAACTAACTAACTAATCACAATCGCAAATGTTGGCGTTATCAGTTGTCTCAGATAATTTCACTCCTAATCCTAATCCGCCTAGTGTACCCAGATGAGTAAATACCTATATTTGCTGACAAATTATTTTTTCACATATTTTTCTATTGTATTTTTATTTGACCCTAGTAATGCTATTAGTTTACCAATGTTTTTCTTCATACCAAGAAAGCAAATGTATTTCATTTACGTTTTGCAAAAGTGATTTCGAAATTCAAACTGCTATTCCGATTTCATCTATAAAATGGTCTATTGTATTAAAAACAAAGGTCAAATGTCAGAGATCTTTGATCCATATTAGTACAGTTTTCTACAGTGATATTCTGTATAATTTTGACGCGCAGATCCGATGTGGATCCGCGTGGGTCTATATGAGAAACATTTACTGAATAGCACTGCTGGTTATTAGAAAGCCATTTGCAATTACGTATTCTTTTCATAACAAAACTTGTCTGTTTTGACATTTTTAAGCGAACTTTTGGGCAAGTGGGTCATGAATATTTTTTTTCGATAGACACTCGTCAAATTCGATAAATAGATAGTATAAAGAATTTGCTTCAATAAGTTAAGTTTCTATTAGTTTTTATTGAAAGCTACGTATTCATTGACTTGCCATTTGACTTTGTCCAGCAAAGTCCACTAGTTCGTCTTCGTCAGGCCCACCAAGAAGTGGTATAGGAAAGGACTCTTGTGGATTTTTGTAGCAGGACACCAAACACTATTTCCCAGCCAAATTGGAAATCCACCACACGAATAACAAACAGTCATTGTAAGTTCCCTCAAACAGGGAATGGAGCCTGCTCCTACCTTGATTTAATAAATTACTAATGAAAACAATCACAAGGTGGCACCGCGCGCCTCCATAATATTTCTACCCACTAAAAGATAGCACTAGCAGTTTTCAGAATAGATTTTTTAGAATTCGGAAAGACGGACAGATGGTAGATACTGACATTTAATTTTCTGTTCCAGGTACAATGTGCTCATTGATTCATTTCGTGTACACCGTTTACCCAATTATATCCAAACCTATGTTCGAAAAGATTTTTAATGCTACTTTTGATACTTTCCCGGGCACAATATATATACTTGGAGCAGTGATGACTGTTCCAGCTTACTTCATATTTGCGTAAGTTTTATCACTATTGCCGGCAAGACTAACGCCTCATCCTAATTGTCTTCAACATGCTGTTGTATATGCTGCAGCGCTCTTTCTAAGCGAAGATATTCTATACCTTGAAAGAAGCTTTTTTCACTTTATTCTATAAAATAGTGTACCAGTTGACAATGGTGCCGATTCTGGCAGTTTAGATATACTGTTTATATCTTTGTCATTCTCTATACAGAATGAAAAGGAAAGCCTGAAAATCGAAGAATCTGTGATGCGGGAAAAAGCGTACCCTTAAGCGTTGCTATTATTTGTAGGGTAACTTCATGATTTGTAAGAAATCTCCACGTAGAGTTTTGAATTTTATCAACCCAGTGGTAAATCATGTTGTTCTCACATACATTTGATCTTCAAACAACTACAATGATCATATAGATGAGCAAATTAGATCATCTCCTGTAGATGCTTAGGCCATTGATGAACAGGTCACTATGTTACAATGTTAACAATATTACAATTTCTACACTATGCTCGCAGTGTCTGTAAAATAATAAGACTTTAAAAGACGACGCGGGATGACCATCGACTATTAATAGACTATGTATTTACCAGAGGACCGATATCACCGGAAAAAAATGGTCAATTTATACAATAAGTAGGTATATTCCGTCACTTCATTTCTCGCTAGAGCTAGAGATTCTTTAGATGTTGGTCGAGACTCTTCGCTATGAGACCGTTAACACTGACGACTATGGGGACAATGATCGTCGAATCCACATCCCACAAAGTGGTTACCTCGTGGGCCAAGTCCTGGTACTTGCTGAGCTTTTCCTTCTCAGCCTTCACGAGGTTCTCGTCATGCCGGATGGTGATATCGATGAGCACTGCCTGGCGTTTCAATCGATCTGTCAATACGATATCGGGCTTATAATCAAGAATAGTCCTGCTCGTAATGACAGACTGATCCCAATAGTGCGTTCCCATACTATTATTATATTGTTATGTCGATTCACCAATCTAGCAACTGGATACATAATAACAGGTGAAGTGAACTAATTTCCAATGCCTATCATAAAAGAAGTAGTACCTAAAACCGCTTTTAATCTTTCGTTTCTTGTCTATCTCTAAAATTCTTTTCTTTTTGTTTCAGGATATTATACTATTTACTTAGGAAGCAACAGCGAGATGTTGTACAGAATCCAAACACGAAAGAGATGCATGCGTATGAAAATGAAGTGACGGTTTTATAGTTAATTAAAGTCAGTAATATGGTATCGATTCTGGCATGATTCTCTAAACCTAAACTTAAATTTGGCAACAGAGTATCCTTGTCATTCTCTATACAGAATGAAAAGGAGAGACTAATGTTAAATTTAGTTTTCAGTTAAGAGAATCACGCCAGAATCGACATCACTATCTCGTTGTAGTTAATTTACTTCTTGGATCCTTTTTTACAATATACAGATTGGTGATTGGTAATAGTTTCCAAATAATTAAAATATGTACTTATCAATAAAATTCAATTCAAAATTAAATATCGTTTATTCAGTCTAGGCTGTTACAAGCACTTGAGAATGTCGAAAAGCTATGCATCGGTTCGCAAATCTACGGCAGGAGACCTTGTACTGAGAAGAACCGGCAAGAAACTCAGCAAGGGCTGTTTTTTTTCTCCCTGTATTATATACAGAGTCGTCAAATTGAAAAATGACATCTTTAAGAGGTAACTCATAGTGTCGCCGCACACGGGCCACACGCCACATCCACAAACGCCGTCACGAGAAGCTAGAAGCGACTACTAAAGTGGCTGAAGCGCGCGACATCGGCCGACTAAGGTAAGGGAGAGAGGGGTGGCGGCGTTTTGTATCGGCGCATTGTGGCCGGTGCGGGCTACATGAAGCGAGCAACGACGATTTGTAGCGTGTGGCGGCCACAGGCGTACCATGTGTGTCGAGTCCATATAAAATGTATGAAAACTACAAGAAATATGCCGGTGGCGGCGTTTTGTGGTTGTGTGCAGCGACACATAAAGTCACTTTCCATTACAAATGCAAATAATATAAAAATTATGACTATAAAATGAGAAAACATTAAAGACTGGTTTAACAAAGTGTAGGAATGTTTAGGAATGCCGTGTCCTACTGTTTAGGCAAAAAAATGACCGTTTAAAGTTTAGTACAACGATTAATAGTACCCAATGAAGCAAGAGCAGACTCATCTCCGCTGGCAGCATCCGTTCACGAGCATGACGCATGAACCAACCATCGCTTCACTCAACCATTTTTTAGGGGACGCAACGACCCGCTTCACACGAGATTTTTAAGAGAGCATGACTACTCATAACCACTCTTGGATACTATGTTACAAAAATAGAAAAAAAAATATAAGTACCAGTGTACATTATTTTTGCAAACTATAAACACAACGGCAGAACACATGCATGTGATTACCTAAACACTGGTGTCCATTCTGGCACTACTCTCCAAACCCAAAACCAAATGCAACATCAGTCCCCCGTTTTCAGTCTGTATAGAGAATGACAAGGATACACCGCTGCAAAACCAAGTTCGTTCACTTACATTTTGATTGCTGTGTCATACAGTATAAATACAAATTGTGTAATGTAAAATACAATCCAAATTTAATAATTAATTATCATTACAATAATAAAGTAGTATAGAGCAGACTCATCTCCGCTGGCCATCGCTTCGCTCAATCATTTTTTTTAAGATAGGTCCGACAAATGACTCCACCCTACCTGATGTTAAGTGAAGGTGAAGTCCAGACGCGAAGATAGCTTATACAGCAGTTCTACCTGCCACACCAGCCATCCTCACCCTGCCGGCCTGCATGTTGCTTCTTCACGCCTCTTTTAAAGAATCCCAGGTTGTAAGAGGGAGGGAACACGTGAGCGGGCAGAGCATCCATTTACGGATAGTGCAACAAAGAAATGAGTCACCAAATTTCTTTGTACGCGTTGGAATTGTGGCCACAGTAAGACGGTGACAACGTAGGCCAGCGCGCGTGGTCCTCTGAAGGAAAGGGGAAGGTGGGATAAGAGAGAATAACTCCTCAGAACTCTCGCCATGGTACAGACGATTAGTGTTGCCCAAATGCAAGAACAAGACGTGACTTGGCCAGTCTTGGTCTTGGTCTTGCGCCAATACACCTGGTCTTGGTCTTGCGCTCCCAGTCTTGGTCTTGTTCTTGCAGCAAGAGTGTTGCAAGTCTTGCAATTACCTATTAGACTATTGCTTTTTATTAAAGTTTACTTTAGATCTTAGAAAAACGTATTAGAATTGGAACATTGTGAGCTTCAATTAACATAGCCATAGTAAAGTCCAATCAGATTAATAAATGTCTGAAGATTTGATAAGAAATTCAAAAAATCAACTGCCACATGGTTATCAACTGAGCTATATGCCGTTTTCCATAAGTAGGTAGGTACGCTTTTTATATTATTTTATTAGTTTTGTAAAATATTTTTACACGTTTCAAGTATATTTAAAAGTGGCTACAATATTTATCAAACGGGTGATATTTGACAACTTTTTTGCTATTTTTTTCTTGTAAAAACTTAAGAAATTTAAGAAATATTTTGACTAAATGTACAATAATAGACGACCTCCGTGGCCGAGTGGTTTATATTATACGCCGGGTTTCATGGCGTCGCCGACTCGAGAGGTCCCGGGTTCGAATCCCGGTGGGGGCAGATGTTTGTGTGATGAATACGAGCATTCGTACTCCAGTCATGGATTTACTAGAAAAAAATCCACGCGGACCAGGCAGCGGACGGGACTCGAACCCGCACCCTTCGCAATCCGGGCGAATGCACTGACCATTATGCTACCACGGCCCTATTCGCTGCAAGGCAGCGCCATCTCTTCGCATTGTAGGCAACCCACAATGTCAAATGAATACTTTTTCAAGTATTAAACATTTGAAAGAAGAAACAGCAATTATAGTTATGTTTTTATTTATTTTTAAGCATTTAACAGCTAGATGTTTAAATCTAAAGAAAAAAATCGACGCGGCGAATAGGGCCGTGGTAGCATAATGGTCAGTGCATTCGCCCGTATTGCGAAGGGTGCGGGTTCGAGTCCCGTCCGCTGCCTGGTCCGCGTGGATTTTTTTCTAGTAAACTTTTCTTTACATTTAACATCTAGCAGTTAAATGCTTAAAAATAAATAAAAACATATCCAGTCATGGATGTTGAATATGTATTTCATATAAATATACTTATACATGTACAATATATGTATTCTATCCGTTACCCTATATAGTATCCCATAACACAAGCCTTTACAGTGCTTACTTTGGGGCTAGGCTAATTGGTGTGAGTGTTGGAAATATTTATTTTATTTATTTAATAATAGCACCTAAGTAATTAGTTTAAACCCATTTAATCAATATTATAATATATACTTACTAGAATAAATTATTATGACATCTACTACCTATCCTTATCATTATCTAATCATTATACTACTTGCGTGATCAGTATAATGTATTCGTTTCCATTATAAGCACTCTGAAACTTATTTATTCTTTGGAACACCTGTACTCTAAAATTCGATAATTGAAGTTCGTGTCGTACCGTCTCGCTCGCTCATATATTAAATAGTATTAGCGTGAGTGGGACGGCACGACACGAAATTAGAATTTTGCTTGAGTATACCTAGGCCCTGTGGCGGCAATCAAATAGTGTCAAATGTTGTGATTTCGGCGCGGCGGCAACGATTGTTGTATGTGATTTCAATAGAAGCCGCCGGCGCGTGTATCACCATGTACTTCCGAAAAGCGGTAAATTTCTTTGAGAAGTCAGTACAAAACCTTTGATGCCGCATTATCAAAGTGCCGATGGTTAAAACAAAACTATGCATGCACTCTGTTTGATTTAAATGGATATTTTTTTATTCGCTATGTATGTTTATGGTATTGGTCGTAATGCGCATAGGTCCAGTTTTTCATATTCTTTAATACAGTTTTTTGCGTCTCATAGAATTCCTAAGCGTACCTATACACCGAACTGTATACCTAACTACTCCGTGAAATAGCGCTAAGTCCTAGCTGCAAGACGCAAGAGTCTTGCCGGATTAGTCTTGTTCTTGCTCAAGTCTTGCACGGTCAGTCTTGGTCTTGGTCTTGCTAAAAATACGCGGTCTTGTTCTTGGTCTTGGTCTTGCAAAAACGCAAGAACAAGACCAAGACTGAATTTGGGCAACACTACAGACGATAGAACGCGCTTAGTGACGCCACGTCACGGCGTAATTGAAGAGGCTCAAGGTGTTTAGTCACCTCCTCATCGCCTATGATGCGGATCGCGCGCCGCTATAACCTATCCAAAGAATCGAGCAAATACTTGGCGGAGCCATCTCAGAGGTGCGAGCAATATTCCACGCAGGACCGCACTTGCGTTTTGTACAACAAGCACAGTTGATCGGGCGTGAAAAAATGCCGCACCTTGTTCAGGACTCCGAGTTTGCGTGAAGCTGTTTTGATCACGGTTTCGATGTAGTCCTTTGGATTCAGGTCTGAGCGAACTTGCATACCGAGCATGGAAATGTTGCTCTGTAGCGGTAGTGTTGTGCCCTGAAGAGAGGGAAGGGGAAGGAATGGCGATGTTTTTGCCGTAAAAGCGCAAGCCTGAGTTTTCTTGGCATTGAACTCAACTAAGCTCCTGGTACCCCATTCGGAAATGTGGTCCAAAGCCTGATTGAGTTCAATGACAAGATTCTCCCGTTTCTTCTTGGTTACCGCCTGCCCAGCCCCTGCTTGTCCGATACCCCGCATGCACTGTACTATCGTCTGCATAGCAATGAATATTCCCAAGAGGAATCAAGTCATTGATATGCAGCAGAAAGAGAGTGGGGGATAGGACGGAGCCCTGGGGAACGCCGGCATTCACTGACATGAACCGCGAACTGCTACCATCCGTAAGGACACGAATAGGCTAGTTGACTCATGTCGAATTGTATTAAATAAATGTTTATTTCTTAAAGTATTTGGTCTAAGGAACCTAAATATATCGATTTCACTTCATAAAAGCAGAAGATTGGTGTAGAAATTTAATTTAAAAAAAAATTTTTAGTCTATATTTTTTAAACACTAAAAACGCTGTTCGCCACATCCGCCATGATTGTGACTTCTCTTAAGGTAAACAACTAAATGTCATTCGCGTGTTACTGTGGGTGGATTCTTTCGTCTGACTTAATTTATCTTAAAACACTTTTAACTTTAGAAAAGTTTCCGTTTACTGTTTTTTTTTAAACTAATTATGGATGCCGGGGATATACTGTACTTCCAGGGCCCAAAAGTAAAAACTTCACAGTTTTGTTGGTTGTAATTTCGCATTTTGTTGTTAAAAAGGTTTCTGTTAACCACATTATTAAAAAAAATGTCACACTTATGCACTGGTAGTTTTTTGGAAAAAAATATTGAAAATTTTTACTTTTCTTATCAAGTGGTGATACTTCACACTAGGTTAGGTTCAGTGCCGGTTTTAGTACTAACAGCGCCCTGGGCGAGATTT